AAAATAAATAGGCGAAGAGATTCCAACCAAATAAAAAAAACTTTTCACATATATATCCATATGCTATTAAAGAAATTTTTTTTGCATTTCTTTCTTATTCAATCGGGTCGGATTTCATAACAGCTCAAACTCGACATATTTTAACATGTTGTAATTGGATTGATATGCAATGTCGTATTTAATAACAAAAGGTTGTTATTTCCTCCATCCGTGGTTAGACAAAAGAGAGAGCCTTCCGCTGGCTGGGATTTGGATCAGGCCTTAGTCAAGCCCACAATTATACCCATGGTTGCCTATCATGATAGAGCTGGATTTTCTTATTAAGGTTCATTCGTTTCATAGAAAAGGAATTATTTAGAAAATATTTTCCTAAAAATGACCACTTATATTACTTACAAAAATAAGTGCACAAAAGTACTTTCATATTTGATATAAATTGCTATCGATAATGAAAATATTTTCTATTGACTAATGATTTCATGCGATATAAATAATTATTTTTAGAAATATGTTTTTAAATCATTCATTTTATATGAAACAAAAGGAGCCTAAATATCATTAACCAAGCTAGTACAAACTATCTGCAAGCCCTTGTGGCTCAGGCCGTCCTAGGCAGGACAATGGGCTGCTCAGCCTGTGATAAAAAAACTTCCTCTAACCATATGTTTTGATTAGTAGTTTACAAAAATTGGACATCAATCACATGTAATGTTAACTGAACAAGATGTCTATGTTTGTATCAATGTCCAACCCAAAAGTTTAAGCCAATGTGTGAAGTGAAGTCACATGTATATAAAGGGACTATAAACCCATAGATATATATATTATATTTTAACTAGTGTAACTTGTTCTGAAATTTTATCTTTATCATCCTAGTCAATTCTTGCATTATTTGCTTTACCATATAACTAGTGTACAAAATACACAAAGATACTCAAATTGCCTATATTTCCAAACGAATTGACGAGTTTTAACTCAATTTGCACCAAATCTAGTCCTTTAGTTTTTTGGTCGGGTTTGCTCTCATACTTAGAGAAAATGGTACCTTAGGTTGATTAAGCTCTCGCATGACCTTATTAGCCTTACTAGTAAGATTTCGTATCCAACAAAGGTTAGTTGTGGCATGGATCCATTGCTCCAATATGTGGAACAAAAAAGGGACACATACCATCCCTTGTCTAAAATTTACGACAATAAGAAGACTTCTTCAGAACATGACATATAATGGAGAAAATATTGATTATTTGGTCGTATTTTGGATTCTATCCATACTAATATGAATCAAACGCAGTTAAATCATGTCACTGTATATTAAAATTTGAAAAATTCCTGGGAGATAAAGTCTGTAATGGGAAGCTGCAATGACAATATTCTTCGTCTTTGGCTTCTGTCTGTTCCTCTCCCACCTCATATTCCAAGTCATGATGATATATGAATTCATATTCATAATTTACTTGATGACAAAAATATTAATTGAAAAAAAAAAAAAGACTCGCTCTGCTTGAATTGATATAATAAGTAAGGTGAGTTTTGCGCATATGAGGATATGACCACTCTAAATGGGCTGCTTTGATACGCTACTGACCCTACTTGATCTTATTTTCCTTTCGGAAGATTTACTAATACGAACTAAATATTAGCTTAAGCGTTTCATTATATAATAAAACAACTACAACCCTGGGAAATAGAACGGGAGTTACAAATTGCATACCCCTTACCATATAGTGAATTATGAACAATGATATGTCAGGTCCAACCTACGGTAGCGGCAAACTAGGGTGTGCATCGAATCTTGAGGTTCATATGGAGTTTCACATGTGCCAATCATAGTCGGATTCCGAGTCCAACGTGATATGACAAAGAAAAACAAGAAAAAAAATTGCAATTTGCACAAGCGAGCCGCCTCGAAATAGAAAGTCAAAGATGCCATAAACACCAATTTAAACAACCCACAAATCTCTCCTTTGGTCCCGAAGAGATCAGTTCTTTAATCAACGATATTATCTAAGCAAACGGACCACCTAATCATCCACTCACCTTCTCCCTCTCTCTCTCTCTCTCTCAGAGAAGTCAAGTCACTGAGCAACATCTCGCAGAGAAGCCAAAAAAGATGGGCTTTGAGAAGAAAGATCTGGATCTGGTGCTGGTTCCGAGTGGCTTGCTCATCATGTTCGGGTACCATCTCTTCCTCCTCTATAGATACCTCCATCAGCCTCACACCACTGTCATGGGATTTGAGAATCACAGCAAGCGCTTCTGGGTTCAGGCCAACATGCAGGTCAAATCTCTCTCCTTTCAGTTCAATTTTAGTCCGCTATACATTCTTCGATCGATTAACGATTGCCTGGGAGCGCAGTCGAATTCGAACTCCCCCGATTCTTTCACATCGGGCCGTCAAAAACTATAAACTGCGATCTGCGTCATCCTCTAATTGGTCGACCTTTGGTTGTGCAATCAGCTTTGTATAAAATTCAAGAAAAGGGTCATTGCGAAAAGAGCCGAAACTTGATCAATTCGGGTGCTTGCGCTGTTTCTGTGCCATTTCTGATCAATCAAAGCTCAAACTATTAACACAATGTGATCTTACAGGTTGAGAAGAGGGACTTTGGCACATGTCTCGCGGTCATATCCGCCAACATATCGGCGGCAACGTTCCTGTCCACCGTCTCGCTCACCCTCAGCTCCCTGATTGGCGCTTGGATCAGCAACACCACCAACAACTTCTTCCAGAGCGACCTTGTCTACGGCGACACCCGGCCCACCACCATCTCCATCAAGTACATCTGCCTCCTCATCTGCTTCCTCCTAGCCTTCTCATGCTTCGTCCAGTCGGCCCGGCACTTCGTCCATGCCAACTACCTGATCAGTACGCCAAGCCCAAGCATCCCTCCGAAGTCCGTCGAGTTGGCCGTTATCCGAGGCGGCGATTTCTGGTCTGTCGGGCTCAGGGCGCTGTACTTTGCTCTGAACTTGCTTCTCTGGTTCTTCGGACCAATACCCATGTTTGCTTGCTCCATTGTCATGGTCCTGTTCTTGCACTACCTCGACTCGAACACGGCTCCATTGATTGAGCACGAGTTTGATGGAAGGCAAGTGGTGAAGAAGGTGGAGCACAGAGTGTCTGAGATGGCAATGGCCACTAGACATACCGTCACATCAGAATTGAATCGGGCGTGATTTGTTTGTATATTGGATTTTTCTTGAGGTAGATAGGCAATTATAAATTGTATTAGTTGTTATAAAATACTGGAAATAAGTGTGGAAAGGGACTTTATTATTTGTACCATGAGCTGTAATTTTCTCCTTCAGCCCGTTTTCCCAGAAGTTTATGGTCGAATGACCTAGTAGAATCGCTAAAAACTCTCGATATAAGTAAGGGTGCGCCTACAATCTCCACAGAAACCCTTTATTGGTTGCTTAGTCCGTGATTGATCACAAAATAAAAGATCTCAGCCATTAATTGATTTTTATACAGTATGAGACATTGTATGAAGACTATGTTAAATCCTCGTAAAATGAACAAATGGGGTTTCGAACAAAAAAAAACCAATTGGGAAAAATATCAAATCAATATTTTTACCTTCATTTTTTAAAAAACCAAATATGTACCTAGGTTTTACCTTTGAAGATCACTTTGCACCTTCACATTAATTATCATTGTATCCCTATTTACAAAAATGTCATTCCTTTTCCAAAAAGGGTCATACCCAAATCCGTAATTCTTATGTCAATCTCAAACACTCGAAGACCAACTAAAAACCAAATCATCGCAAACCCTCAATAGGATGCTAAAATGAGTTTGCAAGGAGAAACAATTTGGTCTTTTCAATAAAGGATTTTGGCCTAGAGGTATGTGAATCGTACTCCGTATAATAGAGGTATGGTAATGGTTATTGGAATAAAAATAAAGTACATTTTCTATATGTTTTCTAAACAAATCTAATCTTTCACCACCATTGACCGTGGTTAGGGGTGAAGTTTTTTTTTTTTTGGTCGAAAGTAAATTTTCATTTATATCTCAAGATGACACATGAGATGCTCAAAACAAACAAATCCCCAACAGCAGAGTAGATCAACAAACCACAATCTGCTATGAAAAGCACACTCTTATCCCATAAGAACAAATCTGTCTCAGGCAGTGCGCCCCTAGGTTCAATGTCTTCAATACCATCACCGTACAAAGACAACAAAAAATAGGTTGATCGAGCTCCCGAATGTAGATCTAGACTAGGGGAGGTTGACGAGCACGAAACTGCCTCTAAGAAACTCCTAGATTTAGATCTAGATTGAGAGATGAGTGCTTCAAAGCTTGGAGAAGTCATATAACTGCTTCTAGTAGTAAGAACTCACCGTATTCTGAAGGAGCTGAAGCGACGCTTTGATTCTTAACGATAGAAGCGGAAAACATGTCCAGGGAGCGAAGAAGAGTATCAATAGCAAGCAAAAGAAAAAAACCTAGATGAAAATAACAAAATACTCCCAGATCAGATTGGGAGAGAAAATCTTAACTCGAGTTGAAAAAATGGAGCCTCTCTTGCTGAGAGTTATTACTTGATTGAGGGAGTTTGGAATGGAAGAGAAAAGATGAATAGCCGAGGTAGAGTTGGGTAGGGGATTAATACCACATTTGATATGGTTGCTGTCATTTGGATTAAGCATAATGACAATTAATAGTTATAAATAGCAATACATAGGGGAGAATAACACTATAAATGCCAAAAGTTGTGTACGGTGTTCACTTTAGTACCAAAACTTTTTGCCAGATTACTTAAGTGCCAAATCGGAGAAAAAACGATCACTTAAGTGTCACCGGCGAAATATTCCGGCCAAAATTAATACGTGACTTTTTTAATTAAATTTCAATGCCTACGTGGCTTTTCCATTAAAAAAGGAAAGTCCATGTGGACGATGGGGTGGCCTTAATTATAAAACGACGCCACTCTCTCTCTCTCTCTCTCTCTCTCTCTCTCTCTCTCTCTCTCTCTCTCATTCAAGTTCTCATGGTGATTGAACCACCCTCTGCAGTGATGCTACGACCGCCGAATCTTGCAAATCTTGCAGTTCATGACCTTCGTCTTGAAGCAAAATTCGTCCTCCAGGCCGGACGATGCAGTCGTGGTGATGCTGAACTAGGTTCGACTAGGCCGGATGGATAGGGACTCCTCCTTGTCCCTGGACAATTGTCGCAACTTGGCAGAGATGAAGAGCGAGAGGATGGAGATTGCGCTAGGGTTTACGAGTTCCTTCACGGGATTGGGATTGTTCTCAAAGGGCTAGAGCTTCCAGTCACGATCGAGGTCAAGCGAATTGATTTTCTTCACAGATTGGGGCTAATGATCGAGGACATCAATAACTTTCCTCTCGTCTTGGGTTGCAGCGTGAAGAAGAACATGATGTGCTCAATTTGCTTCTATGCCCTAATTTAGCCCCAATTTGTCAATTTGGGGAAAAAATGGCAAACGAGCTCAGAACGACTCTCTCTTATTCGACTTTGTCCCTCGTTCACTCTCTCTCTCCCCACTCTATCTCCTTCCTCTGAGATGTATGTCGACGCCTTGACTGCCTCACACTATCGACGATACAGTTGAAGAGGGCTGATATTGGGGAGATGCAGAGATAGATAAGATAGACGGTAGATTCTCTTACGCGACAAGCAAGTTTTGAGAATTTCGATTATCTTCAATTGTTATCCGTAAAAAATCATGGCTTTTTCTGATGCTTTTTTCGAACTAAAGTTTCTGTTTGTTAACAGAGTTCGATTTTGATTCCTTGATTTCGATATTGACGCTCTGTTTCTTGTTATTAGTCCATAGGGAGTTTCACTCGAGGTGTGATCCAATGGCTAGCGCTAACGCAATTGCTAGGTCCGCCGCAAAGGCGATTATCTCGATCGTGATGGACTCCCAACCGCAACCTTGGAACGGCCAGAGCGCGATTCCCCCGCCGGAGCTTGAGTTCGTCGACTACAACGGCCTTGTGAAGGGGTGCACGCTCAAGTACATCAGCCACGTGCGGGAGCAGTCCATGGCTTTCTTCCCTCAAATCTGTTCCTTTGTGTTATTCTCAATTTCATATTCAAGTCTCACTAATCAAAAACGATGTAAATGAATCTGAGGTTCCTACTGTGATTTGAACATATGATGAACACTTCAGTCAATAGATTTAAGCAACTTTCTCAAGTACACTTCACAACTTCATAGAGACATTTCAACAAACAGCTTGCATGCAAAGAGAGGAATGAAATTACCTTGTTGAGGAGGGGTTCTCGGTTGTGCTTATTGGTCGAGCTACACAAGGAGGTGCAGCTGATTGATGTTACTGGTTTGTATTTGCATCAGCACATGTTTGTGCAACTTATGCAAGCACAAAACTACACCATCACTTGTTTTTGCTGGTACGTGCTTGGCACTGAAATGATCACTTTTTAACAATGACTGGCACTAAAGTGATCGCTTTTTAACAATGACTAGCACTCAAGTGATCACTTTAAAAAAAATTTGGCACTTAAACGATCACTGTTTACAACTTTTAGACGACATCGTTTAGGGGTTATATGTTGACTGGGCATGCCGACGAGCAACGTAGGATTAAAAAATTAATAAAATATGGTCACGTCGGATTTCCGACGACTCATATTGGAGTTGTCACTTAAGTGATCATTTTTTTGAAAAGGTGACACTTAAGTGATCCGATAAAAACTTTTGGCACTAAAGTGAGCGCCGTGCACAATTTTTGGCACTTCTACTGTTCTTTTCCCCAATAAATTGCTATTATCTTGGAAAAGGGTGACAAAAGAAGGACCAACGTGAATATTATTTGGAATTTTAAATGGCCCTACAAAATAGAGAACTAATCTTTTATTTTTCTTTTATAAATTTGTTTAATAGGTTGTTGGAACCTCTAAATAAGAAGCTTCCAGCATACTAATACAAAATGGTGAACATGCTCTTTATGTGGTGGTCTAGCATCAGCTAATCCGTCAAGTCTGACTCTTCTAGCCAGTCGTTGGTATAAAGCCCATCTAACTTTCCAAAGTCAACAAGAGCAATTATATATTACACGCATCTCTGTCTATTATATCTAGACTCTTCTTTTGCTACGTGCAAGAGATGGCGAACTCCACACACTTTTGAGCAAGTTAGGTGCTTGTGTATAACGTCGAAAAAGTGATGCCATGGTGTCGTTTCATTTTGCAAATTCAAGCTCGCTTTCTCCCACCTAACGTAATTCAGTGAAGGATGTCTTACTCCCTGTACAAGGCCCACTCATAAAACCCTTTTTTATAATGCAAATGTTGATTAGCTTGGACACTTCACCGCCGATGGGACATTTATTTTTACATTGGGCGTCACCTTTCAATAATGGGTTCATACCACAAAAAATTCTAAATTAGTACAATTATGATAAATTTAAATCTCAACCCGGTACATTTGTGATAAATTTACCCCAAATTAATTTTTTAACCACAAAAAATCCCAAACTGGTATATTTGTGACAATTTTACCCTCCATTAATTTCCGTTAAATTGGATTAATACTACAAAAAATCACAAACCGATACACCTGTGATAAACGGAGGGTAAAACCTTAAACTGTTACATCCGTCAACTGTTACGTGTCATCAAACTCAGCAATTTGACTGTAAATTTTAACGGAGGGTAAATTTGTCACCAGTGTACCAGTTTGGGATTTTTGTTGGTCAAAAAAAAATTTTGGGATAAATTTGTCACATATATATATCAGTTTAGGATTTTTTGTGATATTAACCTTTAAATAATAGATAAAGAAAATACTGTATGCAGGAAGATTTTCATCCTTCCATATTACATGACTAGCTGGACACTCCACTTTCAGACCCCAGTTGAGTAAACTAGGGTTCTTGCGTGACTGAAAAAGGAATATGGTGAAGATTATGAAATATACGAAGATTAGTTTACCAGATTAGTTTATAAATGATGTCATAGATCCCAAACAGGTTTTTTTAACAAGTGGAACGCATTTAGTGTCAAGGAAAAAAAATATATCACATCACTTAGGGGCTGTTTGGTAACCTGCCAAACAGTACCCGATTCTATTATTTTGTTCCCCCTAACAAAAAAAGAACAGAAATCCGTTTGGTAAATTTTTTGTTCCCGGGTATAAATTTGTTCCCAGAATCAGTTTTGGAACAGAATCAAGAATAAATAAATAAAAAGTTGATTCTTGATTTTGGGAACAAGAATTAGAAATGGAAAAGAAATTTTTTTTTCCTTCTTCTTCTTCTTGGTGGGTCTTCTTCATTTTTCCTAGCCTGTGGCTGGCGAGGGCAGCTTGCGGCTTGGGCGAGGGTCGCCCTCGCCTGATCTGGCGAGGGTGGCCCTCGCCCAGGCTGCGATCTGCCCTCGCCGGGCCTGGCCTGTGGCCGGTCACCGGTGCCGGCGACGGCGACCTAGCCATGAGCCAAGGAAGAGGAAGAAGAAAAAAAAAAGGACAAAAAAAAGAAAAAAATATTAAAAAATTCAAAATATTATTAATAAAAAGGTCATGGATAGAGCCTATGTGACGATAAGGCAAAGGTGATATAAGTACTATCGAACTCTATCACATAAATAGCTAGCTGGGATATCTGTTGTAATTGGATTAAGATCCGATGTCGTATGTAATAAAAAAGGTTGTATTTTCTTCCATATGTAGTTAGACAAAAGAGTAATCATTCGGTAGGTTGGGATCGTATTGGCCCCTAAAGTGAGGTCTAAAATTGGACATCAATCACATGCAAAGTTAACTAAACATAAATGTGTAAGATGTCTATGTTTATACCTTGCTAATCAGAATACTGGTTAGAGACAGAAGAAAATTAGAGTAAAAATGATATAAGTACATGCATCTTTCAAATCCCGAGAAAAATTAGAATATCCACTAGCAAGATAAGGGGAAAATTGTCCAAATAGTTCTAAACCTATTGCACTTTTGTCAATTCAGTCCTAAACCTTTCAAATTTGCCAATTGAGTCCTAAACATTTTCACTTCTTGCCAATTAAGTCTATCCGGTCAATTTTGGCCGCCCAGAGCTGACGTGAATGCCGGCCGTCTGGCCAACGCCGACGTGGCAAGTTTTTAATATTTTTTTTCCTCTTTTTCTTTTTCTTTTTTTTCTGGTCTTCTTCCCTATGGATGGTCGCCGAATCGGCCAAAGGTGAGGGCCGGCGACGTGGCAATTAAGTCTATCCGGTCAATTTTGGCCGCCCAGAGCTGACGTGAATGCCGCCGTCTGGCCAACGCCGACGTGGCAAGTTTTTAATATTTTTTTTCCTCTTTTTCTTTTTCTTTTTTTTTTTCTGGTCTTCTTCCCTATGGATGGTCGCCGAATCGGCCAAAGGTGAGGGCCGGCGAGGTCAACCTCGCCGACCCTCTGGTGAAGCTAGTCCCCGCCGGCCACTAGCGAGGTCGAACTCACCGTCAGCTGGGTCTCCCTCGCCCAACAACAGTGCGGTCGGCCTCACTAGATTTAGGTGAGGTCAAGGGCCTTTGGTGAGGCTCGCCCTCGCCAGTGGTCGGCAAGGGCGACCTTTGCCAAAGACCGGCAAGGTCTCACCTTTGGCCGGTCCAGTGAGAGGGAAGAAGGGCAAAAAAAATAAAAAGGAAAAAAAAGGAAAAAAAGAAAAAGAAATTTTTTTTGAAAAAAATATTAAAAAATTAAAAAATTGCCACATCAGCGTTGGTCGAATGGTCGACGCCAGCCAATGTCAGCACTTTCCAGCCAAAATTGGTCAGATGGACTCAACTGGCAAGAAGTGAAAAGGTTTAGAACTCAATTGATAAACTTGAAGGCTTTAGGATTGAATTGGCAAAAGTGCAATAAGTTAAGGATTTTTTGAACAATTTTCCCCAAGATGAGCATCAAAACATTGGAACTTGCTTAGAGAAAGTAAAGTTTGGGCTCCACTCCATCTGTTCCAGTACTTCAGTGGGCCAGGAGGGCCCTGGAACTCTGGGCCAGTCCATGGTGTTATATGATATTTTCGGTAGGTACAGTGCTAGTTATTATTTTAGTTAATATGCTTTATACTATGCTATTCTATACCAATAAAATATTATCATCATGCTAAATAGAGGCCTGAAATAGAAATTATTTCTAAGCGATTATAGATAGATGTCATGTATTGCATGTGACATATTCTTTTGCATTTACACTCCCTTTCCTTTTGTGGGAGGGAATCTTAACAACTTCGAAAGTTAATGTCTTCAAGTAAGAATGAAATCGACAACAGAAATCAAAGTCACCTATATGTTGGAGAATTGGAAGCTTATATGAGATCCTCCGTCTTCGGCTTCTGTCTGATATTCTCCTTCTCATATTCCAACTCGTGGTCTATGTAGTAATATGGACACCAAAAAGTGGTTAACTTTTTAAGATTATCAACAAATGGTGAGTTCACTCGATGAGAGCAAGATTACATCAAAATAGAAATCGTTAATGAACAAAGTAGTCGACAACTTGGAGGGAACTTACCGATAAAGTCATCAAAAACAGACATTACAAAAGTTATCGAAGAAAGCCATTCACCAATGTCGCGACCCTCCCGAAGATGAATCAAGTAGGAGTTGGTTAATGGATTACTAAGCTTATACCTAGATCGAGTTCTCTCAAGCTCATACTAATTAGCAACTTAGGTACAATATTTAGTATGCAAGTCATTTTCATTTTGGAAGCATCACTAATCATTTTTAGTGAGTCGATTAGAAACCCAAATGTGGAAGATTACTTTACTTCTACAAACCAAAGATTAAATGAATTCAGTGACTTGATTACGCTAGATTAATTTAAAGCCCTTTCGGTAACTTTCTCTTTTATTTTCAAAAATATTTTTGCAGGCAGCTTGAATCGATTTTAACCTAGCCACTAATATGTGAGGTGATCATGCGGGTCCGCAACCATTGTAATAAATAAATTACAAGGAAGAAATGGAATTGAACACACCAACACAATCAATTGTTTTTTGGCATTTTCTTTATCTTAAAATGAAAACTAACCTATATGTCATGCAATTTTAATTAAATGAACCTAACATGCAAACTATATGACATGCATATGATATTTTTGGTATTTTTATTAAAACTCGGAATAAATAAATTCCATTATTTAGACATGTAATCTCATATAGGAAAGAAATC